TTTGGTGAAGTTTCCCTCCTGTATGTAACAGAGTTGATGCAATCTAAATCTGTGGATCTGTGTTTGATTACTCTGCCTGGCTTTCTCAAGGACCAGGATGTGACACAAAAATCTGAATTATGGAACTGAAAGTGAAAGTAGTCAAACTGAATTTTAAATAAACCAAAATACAGTTTCAAAGCAAATTAATTCAAATTCAAAACCTTAAATTTAGTTTCAAATCATTAAATTCAGTTTCAATTTAGTAAAATTCATTTTCAAACCAATGCATTCAGTTTCAAATTATGCACATTCAGATTCAATCTGAGCAATTCAAATTTAATTCCTGCTGGCACAAGATTGATCCCATATTTTTGGCTCAACCTGAGTACCCATAATCGCATGTGAAAGGACACACAAACTCATAAAGTACACAATCAAAATATATAAACTAACTTGAACGTATTTTCTTGCGTSTGCTGCAGGTTTCGGGCAACATGATGGACATGAACGCTTTGATGGCGTGTCAGCTGCTGCTGGAGCAGGTTTTCAGCGAGGGCAACAGCCCGCTGCTGCAGCAGCTCTACCAGCACCTGCTCTTCAATTTCCGCATCTGGACCAGAAGCAATTTTGCCGTCTGTTTGGGTAAGGCCCGAGCACAGCGCCTCTTGTTACCGAGTAAAGCTTTTTGTGTTTGCCGAAGCTGTTTGTCTAAACCGCACCGAAGACGAGCGGAGTCTGAGGAGAGAACAGTTTAATAATAAGGGCTTCAGTTTTCTGTAGATTTCTGTGCTTTCTGCAGCTTTACGTAACAGTTTGACATTTTAGTTTAAATGCCAGCCTGAGCAGAGATGACAGCAGAATTTATTGTCTTCCAAAGCACAYGTTCAGTACATGTCATCTGTGATCAACAAAAGCAAGCAGCGCATGAAGAAGAAGTACGGCGTACAGTATCTTCTGGACACCATTCGGACGCACTACAGGTAAAAAACATCCCCGACGACACTGTGAATAATACAGCAGAGTTGTTTATGTTACTGCAAAGACAGGGATTTCCTGTTTTTTGTTTGCGTTTATGTGAATCTGTTCGGTCACAGTGTGGAGGAAGACGGCAGCCCTCTGTCTGACGAGAAGCAAACCATTCAGACGTCTCTCTTCGCCTTGCTGAAAGACTTTCTCAAGTCTCCGACTGCGGACGAGCTTCACAGCGTCCTGGCTTATATCCTGACTGCTCGAGAGGAGCAGCAGGTAATATTTAAATGTTTTAACAGCAGTTTGATGTTGCAATCCTTTGACCTTTCCGCGGAGAAGGTTTCACTCCCAGTTTCCAGTGAATGCTTTGATTCGTTCCTGCCGCTCTCGATACGTTTATCCCCTCTGGTCCGTGTTTCGTAGTGATTTATCCGTTCCTCTCCCGTGGTGTCAGGTGGTGAAGGCCCTGGACGTTCTGTACGAGCTGCTGAGGAGCAGCCCCCCTCGTGAGCAGGTGCAGGCCGTGCTGCTGGAGTGGGGCGTGGAGCAGCTGTACTGCTTGCTGCTCACGCCGAGCTTCGGAGATGAGGCCCGGGAGAGGGTGTTCAGGGTGAGGACCACTCACCTGACCTTTTTTTTTTAACCACCGTCTTGTGGTATTTTCTCAAAATATTCCCTTGTGTCGCTGCAGGTTTTATGCAAAATCCTCAAGAGTGAGAAAGTATCTGAGCGCAACAAGCAGCGCATCAAGCTGAAGGATTCCGGATATGTCGGCCTGGTTTGCTTTCTGGACGGTGCTCCTGTCACGATGACCACCGTRCGCTGTTTGTACAAACAGGTCCTCGCCACAGGTAAAACTAAATAAATGTTTTTTTTAAATATATTTTAGGTTCAGATTATGAGCTTTAGTGTTGACAAAAATCAACCAAGTTTGCATTAAATTAAGAGTAAATGTACTCTGTTAATCCCCAGTGGAGAAATTAGTTCTCTGCGTTTTTTACCATCACACCTGTGAGCACATGTGGAGCAGTGGGCTGCCATCTAAGGGGCCTGGGGACTAGCTGGAGGCAGGGGCTAAGTGGCTTTCTTAAGGGCCCACAGTGGGGCAAACGAGGGTGGAGGCAGATGTGAGTGTTTCACCAGGGTTTCAGTGGGACATTAAAAAGCATTAAAAGGCATTAAATGGGTTTAGCTAAATTTAAAGCCTTAAATTTTGCTATTTAACAAGCATTCTGCAGAAACCCTGTTCAGTTTCCCCACCCAAATTATAAGTACCACTCAAGGGATTTGAAGCGACTCTCCAGTCTCTGTGACACCACTATATATATATA